ACAAGTCAAACCCTGTCTGGATCTGGCTTTGTGTGCAAGGGAAAAGTCATACTGGAAAAGAAAAGGATCCCAAATTATTCCCACAAGGATAGAAGTGACAAGTTGTCAAAAAATGTCCTTGTATGCTATAGATTTAGCAGTGCCCTTCTCCGGAAACACCTGAACTCAGTCATTTGTAGAAGTGTCATAATGCTTTTGGTCATATAGGTAGATGTGAGGATCAGGGGTCCACAACCTTTATGCTAGATAATGTATCACACTATTATTCCATACCTTGCTTTATTAAATACTCTACTGAAGTACCTCATTATAGGCAGTCCAATGGACTTTCAAAAACTGTATTTCTTCCCGTGTGCACAGCAAGTGAAAGAAATAGTTTGAAAAACCAACCTAACAAATCTCATCACCATGTCGTAGCTGTAATAGTGAACACAGCTAGATGAGCCGGGGATCACTTGAATTACTGGTTGTTAGGATATCGGCTGGTGCTGGCTTGCTGATTATCAGTTGCCCTGAGCTGGAGCAGTCACATTTAACATGGATTACAACACTATTGCAAAATGTTTCAATTCTAATTTTGTATATTTGTTCCTAGATTGTAAGCTCGTAAGAGTAGGGCCCTCTTACCCCTCGTACGCTGTCTGTCTTTGTTGTACTGTGCCATGTATTGTCCCCCCCTATTGTACAGCGCTGAGCAAACCCTTTGGCGCTATATAAACTCGTAGTAATAATAATAATAATAATAAATACATTCCAATGGATAAACCATAAGATATTAAAAAAACAAAAAATTGTATGAATTGACTTTAGGCTCAGGTTCACACTGTAGCGGGTCCAGGAAGTTCCCTGCATTCAATGACCAGCAGGCAAAATGCTCCGGTTTTTTTTTTCTAATTCCTAATGGCGCCCTCATGTACCTTAAAAAGCAGCACTTGTTGATGTCTATGAAACCATATGCTGCCGCAGCACCATTTAGTTCCATGGACTGCATGTTTAACAACTTCAATACTGGATACTTTCACCCCCTTTCTGCCCAGGCCAATTTTCAGCTTTCAGTGCCGTCACACTTTGAATGTCAATTACTCAGGCATGCAATACTGTACCCAAATGAAATTTTTATAAACTGAGATAGATAAAGCCTTTTTTGGTGTCATTTATTAACCATTGTATTTGTTTTTTTGCTACATTAACATAAAATACAATACATTTTGAAAAAAACATTTTTTTTCTACATTTCTGTTATAAAATTTTGCAAATAAATAATCTTTCTTCATAAATTTACCCCAAAATGTATTTTGCTACATTTCTGTGGTAAAAATAACTCAAGTCAGTGTATATTATTTAGTCTGTGTGAAAGTTATAGACTACAAACTACTGTTTATATATGAAAATTGACCAATCCCAATGTACTGACTGCCTTTCTCATTTCTTAAGGCCCTAAAATACCAGGACAGTACAAATACCCCCCAAATGACCCCTTTTTGGGAAATAGATAGGCTGTGGTATTTAATAAGAGGCATGGTGAGTTTTTTGAAGTTGTAATTTTTTTTTGTCACAATTTTTTGGAAAATGAAGAAATTATTATTTATTTTTACATACTGTCACCAGTGCAGTACAGCATCACCATATGACTGGTGTGGTGGTGATTGGGGATACTGACTGGTGACAGTATGTGAAAACGTGGAGAAGCTCACTGCCAGGAGGCAGAGTGACATCAGAATGTGGGCAGGCAGTAACGCATTTCAGGGGCACCACCCCCTTTGTCAAGCTAGCCTGAAGGAGGAGAAAGTCCAGCTTCTAATCACGGCTGGCCAGGGCAGAAAGTAGGAGAACCACACACAGATTACCAGTCTTCATACCACTACTATATGATGAAAAGTACCAGCATGTGTGTAGTTCCACATGCTGGTAGTTGTAGTTCCTCTGGTCCAATACACAGTAGCAGCATGCAGATTGATATTCAGTCTCTGGTGCTTCCCCCAGGGGCGGACTGACAACTCATGGGGCCCCTGGGCAATAGGGGATCATGGGGCCCCTGTGTTCTTGCCCAAACTCAAAAAAGCCTATGAAAAAGGTACCAGGGGCATCTCATGGAGCCCCCTACTGACCCCGGGCCCTCGGGCAGTGCCCGAGTTTCCAAATGGTCAGTCCACCCCTGGCTTCCCCACATTCTGACTCATACAGGGAGCTTACTTCATGTAGAGGAGACCAGTTTCCCCAGCCAGCTCTCTGTGTGCCCAGTCACTTCAATACCCCTCTGTAGTTCAAGCAGTGTTGACATCACAACAACTTCACTGCTTGAGCTAGGGAGAGCTTTATTCAGAAAAACAAACATAGTTAATCTCTTCACTGAAAATTTTTAAAGGAAATACATGAAATGGCATACACTTTTTGGCACCTAACCATCATATCTACTGTATACGAGCTTGTTGGACATCATTAGCACTAATATGGATTTGTTCTACTTTGCAGCTATTACAGCCTCTACTCTTCCGTGATGACTTCCCACAAGATTTTATAGTGTGTCTGTAGGCTGCTCATTCAGCCCCAAAAATTGTTGATAAGAAAATCTGGCTCATGATTGGCATTCCTATTCACCCCTAAAGTGTTCATTAAGGTTGAGGCCAGGATATTGTGCAGGCCACCTGAGATATTCCATACCAACATGTCAAACCCTGTCTTTATGGATCTGGCTTTGTGTGCAGGTGAAAAGTCATACTGGAAAAGAAAAGGATCCCAATTTATTCCCACAAGGATAGAAGTGACAAGTTGTCAAAAACTCTGCCTCTGGTCAATGCGCTGCTCCACTTCCTGCTGGTGAGTCCTCTCTTGGCAGTTCTGGCACCGTCCAAGTGCAACTGTGATTGGTTTGTCAGATACAATTTTTAACATGATGTTCCATCTCTTGCTGCCACTGATGGACTAAGAGCTGAAAGTGTTCTATGTTCAGTAAAGTGTTTCCTAATTGATCCTACTAACTCCTGAGTTGTTGTTCTTCTTTACGTATACTACTGAGGAGTTCCATCTCAGATATTTTTGAAGGAGATACAGAGGACTTTTGGATCTTTACATCAGTCCACTTTCTTCCAATATGGAGTCAACATTTCATGGACTCATGTACTCTTAAACCACATTAGCAGCATTGAATAAGCTGTTTGCATACAGTCTGCACCCAAGCAATTCTATTTATTTATTTATTTATTTTTGGGATAATTAGACCCTCTGTCAGGTATTCATTTCTACCTATATACAGTGAACCGTCTGGCTCAAAACAAATTTTGTGCTATCGTCCATACAGTATATAAAGTGTATGGAGATCAAGCATAAAGAAGTTTAACTGGTAAGAACGTTTTATTTTTATATTCCTCATCTTTTACATTTGCTAAAATAATGGGAAAATAAAACGAGCGCTAATGATAGCACAAAAATGAAATGTAAGCAGCTGAACACACTAACAGATAAACCACATGCCTTCAAATAGATCTATAAAATAAATGTTGGTGCAGCGCTAACAAAATATATGGGAATGACCAATCTCAATGTCATAAACGCATGTAGGTGATAAATGCGTTTTTCTTACAATATATAATAAAACGGTAATTAAAGTCTAAAAATAAATAAATAAATAAAGGTGCAGGTGTCTACAGAAAATGCATAATCATGACATGCGTGGTGATCATAAAATGTCCATAAATTCTTTAAATCTGGTGTGGTCTCCAAGTGATTTCAGTAAAATGCCAGTATACTTATTCTCCTTAGGTGGGTGTGCCAATCAACATACAAAATGCGCACTCAGCAGATGTGCTAATAAAAAGCGCATTGTATCATATACTCCTGGTCATTCACGGGTCCCTTAGGGGTAGTCCGGGATGTAGCCTGGGGGTAGATGGTCTCCCTTAGGTGCCAGGATATGATGGCCAATACAAATAGCTCAGCCTCTTCAGGACACTGGGACATTCACTGGAGATGTTGCTAGGAGATTTAAGGTGCTCAATACAGAGCAAGAATTAGGAATAATCCCATAGAGTAATATTTGAATGTTACTTTATTGTTGGTAATGTTAAAATGGGTTAAAAGAACGTACAAAACTGCAGTAGTAAGTAGAAGTGTCACAATAATAATCGCATAAAGATAATCGCATAGATAACTGACCAGCTGGTAAAATGAAGTGGCCGCCGGATCTCCGTGATCCGACGGCTTGACGTCAACGGCTTACAAGGGCTCCTCCTTAACGCGTTTCAAACTCAGCGTTCATTCTCAAAAGGGGCATACCCCTTTATTTTATTTATTTATTTACACATCTTTTACATTTGCATTTTTTGTTTGGAGAATTTTTATTTTAAAAAAATGACTTAATTTTCTCGAAAGCTTTTTTAAAATCCTTGTTCCTGAAGGTGTAAATGATTGGATTGAGTAACGGAGTGATTACAGTGTAAAAAAGAGAGAGGATCTTGCTCAGAATATCTAGTTGTCCTTTGTTTGGAAACAAATACACAGCATTCAGAGCCCCATAAAAAATACATACTGCCGTCAAGTGAGAGCTGCAGGTGTTGAAGGCCTTTTGTCTTCCTATAACTGATTTAATTTTGAGAATGGTTATACCAATATAAATGTACGATATCACAATTATTATAAACGGCACTATGGTGCTAAACAAACCTATTACATAGGTCTGAATATGAATCCATAACGTATCAGAGCAGGAAAGCTCTATTATAGGTTCAAAGTCACAGAAGAAGTGGTGAATGATGTTTGGTCCACAGTAGTATAGACTGCACAGAGATATAGAGTCAACCAACATCATTGTAAAGCCCAGTAACCAAATGAAAATAACTGTTTTAATACAAATTGATTGGTTTATTATAGAGTGGTAATGCAGGGGCTTACAGATGGCCAAATACCGATCGTAGGACATCACAGTCAGGAGAAAACACTCTGAGAACTCAGGTTGGGCAAAGAATGAGAACTGGATGATACATCCAGCAAAAGACATGGTACATCCATCATGGAGGATGATATAAAGAAGGTTGGGAAGAATATTGGTAGACAGAATGATATCAAACAATGATAGTTGGGTGATGAAGAGGTACATTGGGGACTGAAGTGTTTTACTCAGATGAAATAAAACCACAATAAAAAGATTTCCAAAGAGAGTAACACAATATATGAAAAAGAGCAACAAGAAGAATTGAATTTTTATGCTTTTTAGATTTGGGAAGCCTGTTAGTACAATATAGGTTACGTTATTGTGATAGACCATCTGGAAAGAAAATACATAATTTAGGCTGAAATAAGAACAACATCTATCATTTTGTTAATCTCCTTTTATCATACAATTTAGTTTTAACCATGTTACATAATTATGTTTTATTGGTAAAAATGGTCACATTAAATTTTTCAGATAATTAACATAAAAATTAAAAAGCTCAATATTATTTGTTGATGTACACCTCTATACAGGGGCGGACTGACCATTTGGAAACTCGGGCACTGCCCGAGGGCCCGGGGTCAGTAGGGGGCCCCATGAGATGCCTCTGGTACCTTTTTCATAGGCTTTTTTGAGTTTGGGCAAGGACACAGGGGCCCCATGATCCCCTATTGCCCGGGGGCCCCATGAGTTGTCAGTCCGCCCCTGCCTCTATACCATGGTGTCTAGCATTCTGATAAGCCCCCAAATTTATAATTTAGATTAAAACAAAACATTCATCTATGAAGGGGCAGCACAGTGTGCTTCAGAGTGCATGCACCAGTGACGTCACCAATTGCACCCAGTGTGAGTATCTCCTAAACACCCCAAGTTTAGATTTTCACAGTACTTACAGGTGAGTCTTCTTATAGACTTACCTGTAGGTACAAGTTAATACCACTATCACTTTAAGCGGTTTTGGTCTGGTGAAAAGAAAATAAAAAACATCAATTTCACCAGCAAGGAGATGTGGCTTGTTACGAGGCAATAATGGCTGCACACTAAAGGAGCTCCTAGGTTTTAGCAGCTCTTGGCCTTTCATCCCTGCATCCTGAATGCCACAATATGGGAAAGCTGATAAGATATTCTTCCTTCATCCATCAGCACTGCTCATCTTCCTTGTCTGCAACAACAACAAAGACATCTTCCAATCCCAGGCTTCTTCCTGGAGTGGAATGGGGGGGGGGGGGGCAAGATGGCTCCAGCTCAGAGAGAAGAAGAGGACGGTGAGATCTCACAACCTGCATTGGAGGACATAGTAAGAGAAGATTTGCATGCTGACCATCCGCTCACATATGCAGGTTTGAGAGCGATCACAGAGGATAGTAAAACCACATTATCAGGTGCCATTACTGATTTCAAGGCAGATCTACTTGTCCTCACTGAGCAGATATCTTCTGCTGAACATTCAGATGAGCAGAGGGAGAAAGCGATCCAAATGGCTAGAACAAGTGACTGCTACACATCCCCAACATCTGATGGAAATGTATAGACACCTGGAGGACTTAGATAATAGAGGCACAAGGAACAATGTATGGGTTTGAGGATCCTGGAACCCATTACGACAGATCCGATTACACAGATTTCATCTGCTGCTTGCAGAGTCTCTCTTTGAAAGAGGAGATTTTGTCCAAAGTCCGAGAGAATGAGCTTATTACTTTCAATGGTGATACCATACTGTTGTTTCAGGATTTATTCCCAATTACACTAAAATCTGGAAGGTTTTACACCCTTTGCTGGACACTCTCTATGAGAGAGGTATGGGGGACAAATGGCAATTCCCCTTTGCCCTAAGTGTCACTCACAAAGCACCTGTTGTGCACTCCAGATGATCTTCTGGATTTATGTGAAGGCCTATAGATCCCTTTGGCGGAGTTACCAGAGTTGTATCAGGAGTTTAGGCTGCCACCTCCAACTTGGCCACCTCCAACATACACCACATGTTTCTACTGATAAATGTCCTAGCAAGAAAAGCAGGAATGCCCGGCACAAGAGTACAGGATTATTCGCACCTTCTGCTCGCTCTAAAGCACCTCAGGCAGAGGAGGACACATGAGTTTTGTCTCTTATTGTGCATTATGTTTTGTCAAGCTAGTTAAGAGACACTTTTGCTCCTGATAGCTGGGACAGATGTCCAGTCCATGCTGCTCTATGGTCAATTATTTGTTGACAACAGTGTTAATTTTGACATCAGATTTTGATTTAGTTTTAGTCAGAGCCTTTTGAGTGAAATATCATTTTAGTTTTAGCCGTATTTTAGTCATCTTAATTGATTTAGTTTTAGTGGTATTTTAGTCACTCTCCAATACATTTTAGGCAACTAAAATCTAATGGGTTAAGTTACCCCCCTGGTGGTATTCCCAAGTGTAGCTCGGGGTTAAGTTTCAGTGCAAGAAGAGGTAACTAGAGCTACACTCGGGATTACACTTCAGCGTTGCTCTGGGATCCCTTCTTCACTTACCTTGTCCTGCGCTCCCGCAATGTCCCCCATGCGTCCCCGGCCATGTCCTCCGGCCGATGCCGGCATCCATCTTCTGGGTTCCATTCCCTGCGAGCGTCGGGACGTACGGGGGATGGAATGGCGGGAGATTAAAAAATGTAAAAATTTTACATACACATAATACACTAAAATCACATAGTATAACATTCCTGTATCAAACCATTTCACATACATTTTGTCCCGAGTGCTTTGTCCGGCGCCCTGCCTGCATTTTTACTGTTCTTTCTGCCTGGAAACTGAGAAACGTCCATGGCGTCCAAAAAGCGTCCCTTTAGGTCAAAAGTGGTTTTAGACCGGCTAGAGAACAGCGATAGTAAATCAGAACCACTTGCAGAATTGAGTGATAATGATTCGTGGGGGAAATTGATGATCAGTGCCCTGATGATCGATGCCCAGCAGTGCCACCCGCAAGTTCCGCCCAGCAGTGCGCCCACTAGCTCCGCCCACCCGTGCCCAGCAGTGCACCCACCTGTACCACTCTGCAGTGCCACCTACCTGTGCCCAGAAGTGCCACCTACATGTGCCCAGCAGTGCCACCCACCTGTGCCCACCCACCTGTGCCCACCAGTGCCCACCCACCAGTGCTGCCCACCAGTGCCACCCACCAGTGCAGCCCAGCAGTGCTGCCAGTCAGTGCCACCAGTCAGTGCCCAGGGGTTGTGCCAGTCAGTGCCGCCAGTCAGTGCCCAGCAGTGATGCCAGTCAGTGCCGTCTATCAGTACCCATCATCAGTGTCACCTATCAGTGCCGTCTATCAGTGCTGCATATTAGTGCCGCCTATCCGTGACACCTCATTAGTGCTGTCTATCAGTGCCCTTTAGTGCTGCCTATCAGTGCCCATCAGTGCCGCCTATCAGTGCCCATCAGTGCTGCCTCATCGACGCACATCAGTGAAGGAGAAAAAATGCCTGTTTGAAAAATTTTATAATAGAAACAAAGAAACTTTTTTTTTTTTTTCAAATTTTTTGCACTTTTTTATGTATAGCGCAAAAAATAAAGCGCCCAGTGGGGAGTAAATACCACCAAAAGAAAGCTCTATTTGTGAGGAAAAAATGATCAAAATTTCATATGGGTACAATGTTGCATGACTGCACAATTGTCAATTAAAGTGCGGCAGTGCTGAAAGCTGAAAATTGGCCTGGTAAGGAAGGGGGTATAAGTGCCCGGTAGGCAAGGGGTTAAACGTACACACTGTTTATTCTGAACTGTTCTGATCTACTCTTAATATAAAGATTTGATTTCAGTGCCTTGCTTTTCTGCAGCTTGCTCAGAGGTACTTTATCTTTCACAATTTAGATATATTGGGGTGCAGTCACCTTCATAGCAACTATTCAGGTCAGCAATATGGTTACTGCTGTGGTTCCCTAATAATTATATTTAGTACATACCGAGGGTGGACTGACCATTCGAGCACTCGGGCACTGCATGATCAGCATGATCCATGATAAGTCATCCACCACCACCAAACACAGCCTCTTACCAGAGAAATAGATCTCAGGTTATAGAAGGTCTATACAGGCATATATCTGTGTGGGATCCAGGGGTGGACTGACCATTCAAACACTCGGGCACTGCCCGAGGGCCCGGGGTCAGTAGGGGGCCCCATAAAATGCCCCTGGTACCTTACCTGGTTATAGGTTTTTGGGTGTGTTTTGAGTGTAGACAAGGACACGGGGGCCCCATGATCCCCAATTGCCCGGGGGCCCCATGAGTTGTCAGTCCGCCCCTGGTACATACTTTATCCTGTATCAGTGTGCCTCAAAACTTGCAGCAGGTATTTTTTTCTGCTTAAATATTTGCTTCAGGATTTTTCCTTTATTTAGGTTCCCATAATAACTAGTGCAGGGTCAGCATTTTGCAGTTAGAAATATTTTACTTGTTTATGGAGTTATTTTACTTATTTCCACACTAGCGAGCCTTTCAAGATTTAGTTATCTGAAGGTAATATATTTTGGGACTTACACTGTACACTGCAGCTGATAAACTCACGTTCAGGAGATGTTCAGCATTTTTTTCAGCAGCCCCTGAACTCCCCCTAATGTTTTCCTATGTGTCCATGTACACATCTTCGTTTACAGTCATTTAAGTTTACAGTCGTTTTTTTGAACGCACCAAACTTGCGTTCAGCAGTCGATTTTATCAGTGTTTCAAACGCAAATTGCTTGTAAACGCGGCTAAATGCTGCTAAACGCAGAAAATCGTGTTTATAAGCGTTTGCGTTTGAATTTTTTTTGTAACTCTTCCAGTTCCCGATGCTGTCCAGAGCATTTTTTCATCATGAAAAATGCATGCAAAGCATTTTCAAGGTACTCAGATGGACAAAACACTGAACACAGGATGTTCCTACTAAGCTTGCCACACATTGGAATGACCAATTCACACCTCAGACCTCTCCCACCCTTGGAAACAAAAGATATGTTAATGACCATTCACACCTCAAATTCCTCAGGAAGACCCCCTGCCAGGTGGCCTTAATGACTCCATCCACCAGACACCTTTCCCACCCTTGGAAACAAAAGAAATGTTAATGAGCAACTCACACCTAAGCTAATCTCAACACATCCTGCTGTCTCTGCTTCTACTCTCTGTATTTCTCTGAAACAGTCTGAAATAGTTAATAATTTACCACTTTTGAGTGCATTCTGGGAATTTGGGAATGTTCTCTTGTGCTTATCTTTAAAAAAACACTTCTAAACGCAAATGCGCATAAACGCAGTATGCAAACGCGGCTAAACAGACTTTTTTTACTTACGTTTTTCCAGCAGTCAGTTTACATCTTTCAGACGTGTCCCGT